ATAGATAGATAGATAGATAGATAGATAGATAGATAGATAGATAGATAGATAGATAGATGGATAGATAGATAGATAGATAGAAAGAAAAGGAACAGGGATAGCAAGACTAGGAGAAGCAGATGGGAGAAGGAAAGAGGTCAAAAAAGTGCACTTGGCATCCCACAGCTGCCTGGCCCCACAGCTGAGCTGTCACTCTTCCTTTGGGCATGGTCTCTGACAAGGTTACTCTGAGGCCATGGCAGAGAGAGGCAAAGCAGGCCACTTTATAACTTTATCTAAGCAACAAAAAGAAATCAAGATTGCTGTGCCACCCACAAGTTGCCAAAAACTCTCCCCCTCTCTTTGCTAGTGAGAGTGATTGCTGCTGCTTGACCACCTAAATGCAGCTTATATTCACCCTAGTGTGTCCTCCTTATACCCAAGTTATTCATATGTTCAGTTATAGAAGTGCAGTGCTTTCCAATCCAATCAAGTCTTGGCTTCCTTAGATTCTCTCTCAAATCTAATGAAAACTCACATGGTTCTTTTGTAACACCCTCTTACCTGAGAGGGTGTGGGTGCCATAGTTCTTCACTGAACATAGTAACAATCCACTTTATTCAGTGGGAGCTATGTTCCCGGAGGGTGCTTTGGCTGGAGAGCAGGAGGAGCAGCTGGGTCCCTTGCCCTTTGGTCGTCCCCAGTATCACAGATCAGGGGCTGCATGTATATTGAAGAATTCAGCCTTCTAGGTTCCCTTCTCTCTCAAACAAACTCAAACTTGCTGCTGTAAAGTTGATTCCGATTCATAGTGACCCTCAACTGGGCTCTGAGAATGCACATCTTTAGGGGGAAAGACTGTCATTTCCCTCTCATGGAGCATTACAAACCTCATGTTAGCAACCGGGCACTTTCACACTATCAGGGTCCTGTGCTCTAGACTACTGCTTTCACATGCTAGACACCTCCTCTTGAATATTCATTGAACCCTGGACACCTCAGCCTAACAACTGGTCATTTCTAACACTTGACGTCACTCCCTACTACCTCGACCTCTTGCTTTTCAATCTCAGCATCACCATCCAACCAGTCACATGTGCAGCCACTTTCAGCTTTGGCACCAGGGTCCCAGGTTCTAGTCAATTGGCCCAGGCGAGAAGGGATGCACACACCATGGTGCTGCTTTCTGTAAGAGCGCTGTGTTCTTGAGTGGGCAGGGAGGTGTCTTTCCTAGCCCATTCTCCATCCTCTCTCCATCAAGTGAGCACAACCTCAGAGGCATCAGACCTGGGCCAGTTCCTTCCAGGACAGTAAGAAGCCGAGTCTGAGGAGAGACAAGAAGCAGCTCAGGCCTCAAGCTAAAACTAATGGATGGAGTGGGGTATGGCTTGGGGATTTTATCCTAAACCACATTATCTCCTCCCTCTTACCTTGTTCCCCCCTATCCTAGTGCTGGCTTCAGTGACGAGACCTCAAAGCAGTCTATCTAGAAGATCAATCATTTTGTCATAAACATATCCGAACATACAGAAAAGATGAAAGACGTTTACAGTGACTACTGTATACCAACATTCACGTGTCAATCCCTGCTATATCACACATCCAGTTTCCCTTTGGCCCACCTCATCCATCCTTCTTGATTTTGTGCCCTCCAAAGCTTTGCAGGTGTCAGTTCATTTCTCCCATAAGCACATCCATATGCATCTTATTAACCATAGTCCAATGTTTGTGGCTCTTACAAAGAAAACTCTCAATATGACATGTCAGGTCTGGTAATTGGAGTGGAGGCGCCAGAATGGAGTTGGCTAGAACACCTGGACTACCAATTCTTCCCTTTTTAAAACCTAAAGCCCCATCTGTCCCCAATTTATATGCAATGGGTATATTCTATTTTTAGGTGGTTTCTAAAATCAGACTTAATATAGTGCCCTCTTAAAAAATAGTTCTATTGTGGCACCAGCCCCAGTCCTACTGGCACTGCAGCGCTCAGACCACCATTGCCAGCCACCTCGACCTTCGCTCAGGGCCGCCCTCTCCGGTGGATGACGGTGCATGCGGCCTGGGGCTTGGCCTGGCGCTGCTTCTGGCATTGGTGCTGGCGCTGGCTTGGCCTGGCGCTGCTTCTGGCATTGGTGCTGGCGCTGGGGACCCCATGAGCCAAGTCCACAGTGCACAAGGAGCGCAAGGAGTGTGTGGAGGGGCCACCCGAGGACAACCAGAGCTTCCAGTACGACCACGAGGCCTTCCTGAGCAACGAGGACTCCAAAACCTCTGATCAGTTGACATTGGGCAAAGGCCAGGAGAGACTGGAGAAGGTTGTGGATAGAATCAACAGTAATGGGGATGGCTTTATTACCAGGAGGAGCTGAGAAAGTGGATCAAATGGTGCAGAAGAAGTACATCTAACAACAGTGTTGCCAAAGTCTGGAAGGATTATGATTGAGACAAAGATGACAAAATATCCTGGGAAGAATACAAACGGGCCACGTATGGTTACTACCTACAAAACGGGGAAGAATTTCATGACAGTTCAGATAATCACACCTTTTAAAAAGATGCTGCCTCATGACAAGAGACAGTTCAAGGCCATAGACCTCAAGAGTGACGAGTCGGCCACTCAGGAGGAGTTCACTGCCTTCCTCCATCCTGAGGAGTTTGCGCATATGAAGGAGATTGTGATTTTTGGAAACTCTGGAAGACACTGACAAGAACGAGGATGGCTTCGTGGATCAGGGTAAGTACATTGCTCATATGTTTTCACGTGAGGACAATGGCCCAGAGCCAGACTGGGTTTTATCCAAATGGGAGCAGTTTAATGAATTCATATATCTGACCAAGGAGGGAAAGTTGGACAAAGATGAGAGTCGTCACTGATCCTCCTTTAAGATTAGGACCACACGCAGGTGGAGGCCAGGCACTTGGTAACGGATGAGAAGCTAACAAAAGAGGGTATCTTGGAGAACTGGAACATGTTGGAAGCCAAACTACTAATTATGGGGAAGATCTCACAAGAAATAATGATAAACTTTGACCGACACATGTGTTACTGTTCTCGGCCTTCTTGTCTTGAATGGTTGTCTCATTTACACAAACTGTGTCTCCAGAGCAAAACAAAAACCAACTTTATTGCCTCAGATTGGGG